ACATACTCCATAAACCACATGGGTTTCCACAGCTGTGTAAATAGGTGAACAAGATGGTTACAATATTGCTAAGAAATACAAAAGGTGAATCAAGGAATAATACAATAGGGGATCACCTCCAGGAAGGAGTGTAGGGAAGAGGAAATGTGCTAAACAGTGATGGAATAAGAAGAAAAGGTTCAGAATAAACCTCAGTATGTCTTACACAAAAAAAAAAAAAAAAAAAACCAAAAAAAAAAAAAAAAAAAGGGGGTGAAGCTGTTTTCTCTTCCTATTTTAGACATTTTTCTAGTACTACCACAAACAACTGTGCCTTTTGACCTTAATTTGTGCTCTTCTCCATCACATTGTCTTAACCCTCCTCTCTCTTTCCCTTTGTTTAGGGAACTGTGTCTCTCTTTTTCAAATACCACCCCTGTTCACCCTCCCTGATTTTGAAGTTTTAAATCTATAAAAAAAAAAAAAAAAAAAAAATCCAACAAACTACAAACAAGATGGGGGTGCACAGCAAAATAATTAGTCAAATTATCATTTGACAGGTTCCATTGGCAGGCCTCACTTTTTGTATTATTTTTCAGCTCAACTACCCCAATAACATGAATAAAGAAAAAAAAAATAAAAATAGTTTGGCAGTGTACAGCAGCCAGCTGTTTTAGTCCTTTTCAGTCTGCAAGGCATGACTTTGGGGCACTACAGCACGAGACGCCTCTCACTGTAGCACACGCGGTCATCAGCTGACCCCGTTAGCGCAATTTTTTTTTCAAGTTTGGGCAGGAGGAAAGCTGTTCACCCAGCAGCAGTCAGAAAGCTGGACAGGGCTAGGATCAGTGACGGCCAGACACATAACACTCAGCAGGCTTCTGGAAGGGAGTGATCTTCCTCTCTCCAGCAAGGAGAGCAGGATGGGCGGCTTCCAGTTTCAGAAACCGATTAGGCAGAAACTGCTATCAAAGCAATAGAGAGGGCCCTACCCTAACTGGGTTGAGAAACAGAAGGTGGCATTATCTCAATCGTTTTGCCAGTTTCAACAGCCCCGCTCATTCCTTCTCACTGAAGTTGCCCAGGGTGCTCTTTTCCAAGGCTCTTCCTACACACCTACCTGGACATCACACAGTATTAAACTGTCACCTAGACACCACGTGCTACCTAAAAAGCAGCCACTTTGGTGTCCTCGCTTGTGGAGCAGCTACTAACCAAGCAACAAACCCTCAGACTTTATTCCTTCATGAACCACTTTTTAAAGAGATGTTACACTAACAAAAGATGCATCACGCCCAAGTGCCAGCAGTAGTACCACATGTGAACAGTACACAACAATATGCTTACCAAGCTATTGTGCTTTTTGGTAAATTATACAGTAAAAAAAACCCAGTGAATCTAAGAAGAAAAGAACTTCAACAAAACCCAAGTTTGGCACCACTGTAACATTCTTCCAGAGAGTCCAAAATGAATTATTACAAGATTGTCCTTTAGATTTTGCAACCAAGAGTATGAGTACAACATCAGAATTAGCTAAATAAAACTGCCTTCCTCACCCTCCAAGTTAACAAATTCTGCATAAACAATTACAGAGCCATGACACTCACACATGGAGCAAAAAAGCTCTTCATGGCAAGCGTTAGCCATGACATTATTTACTGCAGACCAACAAGATCATTGGCTACAGTTACAATAAGCACTGCTGTCTACAAGGCCTTGGTGTTACTTGAAACACTTACTTTCCAGAAGCTCAGGGAAGATATAATAAATAATAATAATAATAATCAATTCCATTGTCATTAGATGAAAACTCTTAAACTGCAAACTTCAAGACTTCTATTTTTATACAGATATTTTTGGTCATGTGTTGCATGACTACCCTTTATATTTCGGGATTATTTTTGTCCCATTGGAGAAACAATGTACATCTGGAAGCAATGCAAGAACAACTAGGTGAAGAACAAAAGAAAGCTTCAAGCTCATGCCTCTTCTCTTATACTGTAACCAGCAGACTGACAGTATCAGCAAGTGAAAAACTGGAAGCTCAGCTACCTCCTCTTGAGAAACAGGCTCAACACAAGGAGCACACACACACTTTTTTTGTGCAGGAAAAGCCTACAAAAGCAGCAATGCAGACTTCCACAAAGAATAACCTACTTGAGAATTACTTCAATGTAGAAATCCGTATGGTGAGGTAGAAAGAATGGTGGAGTGATTTTAAAACCAACAAAATATAAATAGAGAAACAAAAAATAGATCTCAGAAGGTACTTTTGATGCTGACATGGCTTGAAAGAGACACAAGAAGGCCACAGGCTTCCTACTCTTGCAAAGATGTTAAAAACACTTGTAACGTCTTTTATAGAGCAACGAGAGCAGCATGCATGAGAAGTCATCTTTCCCAACAACAAGAGGAGAAGCAGCTGTTGGTAATCTCCCATTCTTTCATTCAAGGCTCAGGCTTTCTTACTAACTCCTGAGAACAAAGTCTCATAAAATAAGTCGAATAAATTACACAGGGAAAAAGTGAAAAAAATCCCTGTTCACTCTTTCTCCCACATATACCTTGGGGAAAAGAGCAACCATCAGACGGTTCTAGTGCTGCTCCTTCCAGGTAACATAAGGGCCAGCAAGCCCTCCATCACTTCATCAATCTTTTCCTTATCACTTGGATCCATCCTTCATAGATAGCTGTTGCAGTGCTCAGCCAGGAGCAGTAATAGCTGCAGAGACACCAGAGTGACTTCATCATTTAATTTCACCTCAACTCCAGGCTTACAAACCAAAGCAAAAAGGCTGACATCAAGCAAGTCAGGTTTTGGTCCCTGATGACTCGGAAAAATATCTGCACCAAGACAGAAGTACTAAAGATGTCCAAGCAACTCAGAGGATACCAATCCAACAGTTTTCACCTACCCCACAAAGACTCTTTTGTCTCAGCTTTCACTCAAAAGAGCTCAGAATGTAACTAAGTATCAGTCTGTAAATAAATAGCAAAAAGAAAGAGACAAGGAAATTCACCACGAGTGCTTGGGGAAAAAAAAAATAAAAAAAATCACTTAACACTGGTAATCAATAACTTGCTACATCATGCCATAAAATGCTACCAAAACGCATGAGAATCTGAAAAATAGAACCCTTTTTGACACACGGAAATTTTCCTCTCTTACAAAGGAAAAAAAAAAAGTTAACTTCCCGGACTGCCTCACATAGATGGATTAGCTGAAAATATAAACTGCATTTCCCACAGAATCCTTGTATGTGGTTCTCTTGCTTTGTTCTGACTTTTTTTTCCAGACAGCAGAAGGACCAGGAGCACATGACTAGAGCGACTGTGGGGGTTATCACAAGTACGTGTGCTTTATGCTACAGCCTTTGTTTCTCCCTCAGTGTACACTTGGGATTGAATCATATTTGCAAACTTGTTAGTCTGCATCAGTTAGCACCCTCTTCACAGGCAAGCATCTGTCTAGTCTTTGACCTCAAATAAACGGGAAAGGAGCATCAATGACCTTTCAAGAATCAAGCTGTACAGCCTGAATAAGACAAATTTAGCTGCTGAGCATGACAGGTTTAGGTCTGGTTTGGTTTAGACAGCCACCTGCAGAAACACTGATCAACAAGACCTGCTCTCTACTCCGCGCGCGCATAAAGTAAACCAATAAATTAAAATGGAGTCACCCCACAGTTTTTCTCCACACATATCAAGAAATCCTTAATAAATGCTGCTGCTGGACCTTATCAAATATATGTTCTTATGCTGCTAATATGGGTTAACTGCACCCATGTTTTTCAAAGCGCTGCAGGCGTGCTGATCATGCAGATACAAGGTAGGCTACGGACCCGAGCCCAACGCTCCCTTCAAGGTTTCAACCGCAGTGGAAGACATTTCAGTGCAGAAAAAACGTCAGAATTCCTGATCTGTCAAAAAGCTCACAATCTCACAGCACTTTGAAATGAAATGCATAAAATGATATGATATATATGCACGCATGCACACAGAGCCATGTCAGGTGTGGCCGTACGCAAGTATCAAATAGATCAATTGAATGGTTAATGCATATCAAGCATTCCAGGTCCCATAAAGATACCACCCTGCGCTTCCATAAGAAAAGGAAAAATATCTCTGAAAACTAAGCTATTAATATGAATCTGGAAGAACAAGTTAGTTGTTAATATAAACATATTCAAATCGAGTTAAAAAATTCCCTATTGTACATGTATAGCCAATCTTTAGCGACTCAGAACAGGGCCTTTTTCCATTCGCACTGTGCATTTTGTTCAGATGCAATACATATTTTTAATTCACACAAACCGGCTAATCCCACAAGACAGAAGATGAAGGATGGGCACATATTAAACACAATTTCCAACACGCCTGTGCAGAATAAAGCACAGGCCTCATTCTTAACAATATTCCTGTGATCAGAAAGCTGGAAAAGGCACGCCGAGCTTGAAATAACGACTCCATAGGCTCACATGTCAAAATAACCATTTTCTTATCCCCTCTATTGAGCATTTTACCAGAGCCTGGAGGATATTAGAGAGACACCTTTTGTAAGCCCCCCCTCCCCCTCCCTTTTCTTTCCCCCTTTTTTTTTTTTTTAATGGGCTGGACTAAAAGGTGCTCACACCCGATCTACGAGTGCATGGAAAAAAAAAAAAAATCTTCCGAGCTTTCTCCTTCAGAGCCAG